CCTACATGAAGAAAAATGCTCTCTCCTCCTGGGTTTACAGCATGATGAATTCCACAAAGAGAGCACAGTCATGAGACTGAGCCCAGTGGGGACTCAGAACACAACTGCCCCCAGACACCCCCTTGTGTCCCACGTATTCATCCCCCCTTTGCAGGGTAAGGAGGTGCTTCTGTGAACACCTGGGCTGCGTTGTGATAACTCTAATCCTACTAGATGTATGACACTACAGAGAGAACATTTCACAGGAATTTAAATTTGGGTGAGGTCCTGCTCCTCTTCTTCCCATTTTACATCTGTTTGCATTGTACCTATACCAAAGTCCCTAAAATTGACCACCCCTCTGCAGCCCCTAGCCACCTCCCACCCTAATGGCACACTTTGGCAGGAAGCAGCCATTCTGTCTGATACACACACCTGCTTGTGCATGCTCCATTTGCGCTGAAGTTTTCTGTGTGGGGAGAATGGTAGGTATGAAAATATAGGCCAGCAAAAGCCAGGGAGTGCCACATGAATTATCCTGCCTGGGACCTGCTCCAGGTTTGGTTGCTTCTGGCTGTCTCTTCAAGTTGCATAGGCCAGCTAGGACATTTCCAGGCCAAGAGAGAAGCCCTGTAGAGTGAGGCTGCACACTGAGTTGTTTAACCATGTGTGGAGGGGGTGTTTCACCCTCTTGGCATAAACACCCACCACTGGGGCAGGCACATTTGCATGGCTTGTTTTCCCTGCTCCAGGAGTGCCTGAGCACTGATGGCATGCCAGCTCTTCATGGGAATCTATTACCAGTGATGTGGCGCAGAAGGCTGCCTTCCGCTGAACTGTACAATTTAATGCTATGCTGTCTGCAGGTGTATCAAGAAGCATCATTAATACACTCCAGAGGATATGGATTGAATTTGTCTTGTGAATGGCTAGTGTTTGTGTTAAGCACTCCTCAGCATCATTATACCAATGAACTTGACTTTGTGGTAACTGATTATGCAGAATGTTAGAGAACAACAAAATGCATCATCGACTTGGCGTTTCTGGACAGTTTAATTCTGGAATAGCCGCAATGACCATATTGTTGCTATTTTTGCAGTTTATTTTAAGCTACTTAAGAAGAGAGTTTCAAATGAATCAAGCACATTTTAAGGATCATTTTGCTTTACACGTAGTACTTTAGATTGATTAACAAAGTTTGAAAGCAGTCATTTGATCTGTCCTGTGCAGTTCAAAATTGTAGTCAGGTTAATGATAACATCTATCCATTTATTGAGTACTTACAAGGAACAGACACCTTAAAACTGGCTTTACTATGTTACCTAACTTAGTTCTTAGGAAAGATTTGAGACAAGGAATTTGAGACCCAGAAAGGTTAAATAACTTCACCAAGGTCAACCAGCCAGTGAATGGCAGAACTGATTTAAAGCTAAGGTAAGCTATGTTCTAAAACTCAGGCTTATGCCCTAGGCAATACTCCCAGACCCTGCAGAAATATAATGGCTAACAATAAAGAATCTACAACCTTCACTACCTTCAGGAAATTTTAACTGAGGATAGGAGGCACTTTTTTGAACCAAAAGTAACAGATTAAATTATCACTTTTAAACTCTATTGATCAAGCTAAGGTAATATGTGTACAGCAAAATGGTGCATGTTTCATTTCAAAATATCTACTTTTGTAGCTTAGAAGAAACAACAAAAATAGTAAGAATATGATCATTGCAGCCATTTAAGTACAGTATTGCACATCCATACTCTTTTTCTTCTCTTTCATTCATACTGAAATAATGCGATCTGACTTGAAAGGCTATTAATATTTATAATTTGCTACCATCTTACATCCTCAGAGAGCACTATCATTTGCAACTCACTTCACATTCATAAACATGATAACTTAGGTTAAAAGGGGCATGTGTTATTTTACCCAGGGTGCCTCTCAGGCTGATTGAAAGTCTTGAATTAGATGAAAGACTATGCTAGGACCTTCTGACCGTAGCAATGTTCAGTCTTTTTTACTGAGTTGTCTCTGTTCTCTGCCAGTGTGTTATCCATATGCAGACTATCCCACAATTGAAGTCTTGAAATGACTTGAATTGCCCACAGTGAGTCCTCAAGGAGACCGGGAAATGGAACAGCTCTTACTTTTGCCCTGGTCACCGCCTCATGGCTTCTGCTTCCTCAAGACCAGTACTGCCTCAAGGCTTATGACTTTGTCCTCCTCTCCCTGAATCCCTTAACTCAGGACTGTGCTAACAGCCGTGGTTCTTGTTAGGTGGGAGATGTCGTAGTAAGTGTTTTGAAAGTCATTTAAGGCTCACAGGAATCACAAGGGTATGTGAGCATGGGGAGCTGGGGATGGCTCAAGTACTTTGGTCCCTGCCACAGCCCTGGGAGACCTGGATGGGGTTCATGACTCCTGGCTTCAGCCTGGCCCAGCCCTGGCTGTGTATGTATGGACAGGGGAGTGCATTTTGTACCTAACTAACCGTGGCCGACCTACCTGGACTTTACATGGCACAAAACGGGCATTGACTTGAGAAGTTTTTTGTTTCTGCTTGTGGTTTGTAACTTGTCAGACCAGATTTGAAAGTTTTCATAGCACAGTGGAGCTCACTGGCCACACGGACACATCTGAGTGTCCACTCATGTCCATATCTTAAAGGCCTCCCCATGCCAGCTAAGTTGTAGTTCGGGAACACAGGGTGATTTTCCAACCACTGATGAGTACTTGCTAAAGCTCACGTGCACAGCCTCAACAGCAGTGTGGGCAGCTCAGCAGTCTCGTTTCTTTTTAAGTATAAAATTCTGAGCCCTTTATCATCCAGTTCTGAAAATGAGGTCACTGAGACAAGTTAGATGGATGGATTCTTTAAGGACTATATAATGCAGTCCCATTTTGTGATGAAATCATTTTGCTAAACACAGACCTGTTCATGGGTGAGGACGCTCTGCCTCTGAGACATTGTGCACAATCCCAGAGCTAATGAGAAGTGGAGCTGAAGACTCATACTCAGCCCCCTAGTTCCCGGTGCAGTTATTTATTTATTTATTTATTTATCATCGTACTCTTCTGTAATGATACGTTGCAAAGCAGTAGGATGAAAACTGTCTCCATGACTAAATAATTTACCCTTCATTATAAAGAAAATTGAATCTTGTTCATGATTATCTGATGATCTATACATTTATTATGTCTTATTCTATAGTTCTAATATAATCCTAAAATTTGGAGTGATAAAACAACAAATCTCTTAGAAGAGCACATTTTTTCTAAAAGGTAATTTAAAAAAAAAAAGCAAAAAATGCCCCAGGTTTTCTCTAGTTGTTTATTGGTCATTTATTCAATTTCCTCTTCTGTCATGTGTCTTTCACAAAGCAGATGAAGCACAGGCAAGATATTTATTTATCATACCAGAAACAAAAATTCAGACAACTTCAAATTTCTATAAAAATTGGAAGGAGTTTTGGCTTTAAGTAGGCAGAGCAGTAGCTGAATATTTGCTAATATTTAAACATATAAATTATTAGTAGGAAGAAAATAAAACATTACTCTATATGATGTTAAATATTCAGTTTGATGGTTTTGACAATCTTAAATTTATTGGATTAGAAAAGGTGAAAAGCAAATTAAGGAAAAAGTAGTAGTTAAGGTCTATGTTTAAAAAACTTATCTTAAAATTAACAAATAATTATAAAGCTTAGGGTACAATGTGTTGTTTTAATAGAAGAATACATTGTTGGGATGGTCTTAGTAGGGTAATTAATATATCTACTATCTCCAACATCTATCATTTCTTTGTGGTGAGGATCATGTAAAGTACATCATTGCTAACGGTGGTCATCTTGCTGTGCAATGGGACCCCAGGAATCAGTCCTCCTGTCTTTTTTCTTTTTTACCCATTGGGCAACCTCTCCTTTTTCTTGCCCTCCTAACCCTGCTTCCTCCACACCTGGTACGATTTCACTCCCTACATCTGTGAGTTGAATTTTTTAACTTCCATACTTTTTTTTAAGTAAATGAATAGTGTACATTATACAATATTTGGGATAGATAGAAAGTTATAAAGAAGAATATATGAATATAAAGTTCCCATGAACTCACTGATGAGATATCATTGGCTAACATCTCCATCTTATTTTTCCCAGCAACATGTAAATACATGTGAAAATATATACTTATAAATGGGGGATAATATTCAATGAGTTTTCTATCATAACTTCTCATTAAAATTTTACATGATCACGATTCCATGTCAATAATCTTCACACACACTTTTAAGGTATTTATTTTTGGGGAACAGCATTGTATGACTAGACTTAAATGTATTTAACTATTTCTTTTTGGGGAAAAGATATTGATTTACATTTTTCAAAATTACATAGGATGAATGATCTGTAAGAATTTGCATGTTACCTATAATTTTCTTGGGATATGATTTTTCTAAGTGAAAATCTTTTTCAACAACTACAATTTATTTCTATTTTTTATTTATCTGAAAGGCTGAGACCAAGAGACAGAGAGAGAGCTCTCATCTGCTATTTCACTACACAAATGCCCACAACAGCTTATGTTGGGCCAGGTGAAGCCAGGTGCCTAGAGCTGTCTGGGTCTTCTACATGGGTAGCAAGGACCCGATCAGTTGACTTATCACTGCTGTCTCCTAGGGTGTGATTTGCAGGAAGCTGGAATTGGGAGCTGAGCCAGGATTCTACCTCAGGCACCCTGATATGGGATGTGAGCATCACCAGTGGTGTCTTAACTGCTGAGACAATTCCTGCCCCAAGAACTACATTCATTTGAAAGATTATTGATTGTCTTGCAAAACTGCCCAGCAGAAATGACCTACTATTTTTATTAATCAAAAATAGAAATAAAATGTTGTATTCTTAATTTTGTTTGTATTTATTATGTTGAAAACAACCATCTTATCTGTTCACTGAACAGTTTTGAATATTCTTTTGAGTTAATTGTTCATTATTTTTCAGTTTTTTATTGTTTTTTTTAAAGTTTAGTTTTTTGTTTTTTTTTTTTTTTTCCAGAGAGGCACAGGCTTTAATGGCTCAGCCACCAGCGTTTGTGCTGGTGAGGAGTCTGTTAACACATCGCAGGACAGAACGCGCCGAGGCCGAGCCGCGGGGGACACCTCGGTCACTCTTGGCGCAGGGTCGGCAGGCCCCCCGCCCCCATGGCTCCTGTGACGGGCATGGCACACAGGCACCACCTTGCCACAATCCCTGGGCTGTGGTGGGGTCGGGAGCAGCCATCGCCTTCTGTGAGGACAACGTGGAGAGCTGGTGACCCTGACCCAGCAGTGGCTTTGGACAAAGTGACGCGGCAGAAGAGGGGTGTGCAAGGTGGGGGTGTGGGGGAGGGGGGATGACTGCCCTCTTCTACCCGCTCTGAGCCAGGACGTGGCAGAGTGCGGAGGGCGCCAGCCATGTGGTGGCCACACTTGGCCTCCACGCTGTCCTGGGGACCACCCCTGCCCTCACAGGCACCAGCTGACCGCAGGCAGAGGCCTGGGGCAGACGGGGCGGCCTGCGCTCAGCTCGGCTTCTCCTTCCCAGATTCCCGGGGTTCCTCCTTCAGGTTCTCGGCCACGAGCTTCATTTGCTGCTGCTTGAGCGCCTCCAACGACTCGAATTCCAGCCTGGCCAGTTTCATCTGGATATGCCGGGGCTTATCAGGTTTGGCAAACGCGAGTATGAACTTCAAAGCCAGGAGGGCATGCTCCACTGCCACCACAATCAAAATGAGGTCCGTCTTTGACTCTGGGAAGAGGGCATTCACTTGCGGCGACATTCCAATCAGAGCACAGTTAGTGACCACAGAGATAACACTCATGGTCTCAAAAGCCAACTGCCATACGCCGATATTGGCCGAAGGTTCTGCGAATGGACGTTTGAAGACCCTGCACATCTTTAAGGCATCTGAATTGACTTCCGTGAAGTTATTTAACACAGCAAAGGCAGCTGCTAGTGGGTAGACGCAGGAGAAAAGGCTCACGTAGCCAAACTGCAGAAACAGCTCCAAGTAATCGTTGAAGGTGCCCAAGTAAGTTCCCATTTCTTTTTCCAGGATGACTTGTTCATAGAGGGTGGTATCGACGTCTGCCTTGAGAGCCTGCACCTTCCTCCTCGCCCGCACGCCGTGCTTCCTTTGCAGCCAATAAGGGAGAAGCGATTCCACAATCTGGTTAAGGATCTGAGAGGTGATCAGGAGAGTGGCCAAACTCTGTCGCAAAAGCTTCATATCCTTCAGGACAAAGGCAATGTAGAAGAGCGAAGCGAAGCAATTGAGAAAGTTGAACACCAAGACTTTCAGAACCAGATGATTCTGGTAGGCAGACTCCAATCTGTGACTCTCCCAGGAAGTCAAGAACTCGGCGGCGTAGCGGTAGAGGCGGTTCATGATCTCGATCACGATGGCATAGATGATGCTGGGCACGTACAGCAAGACGCTGGTCCACTCCGACTCGCTGCTGTCATGCAGAGCCAAGGCCCAGGTCTCCATGTCGAAGTAAATCATCATGACGTACAGGGAGAAATAGAGACAGATGCAGACGAATGGCAGGGAGACCAGGTAAATGCGCAACTGTCTCTTGTAGCTGGAGTAGAGGGGCTCCTCCCTGCCCGTGACAGAGTTGACACCCAGGACCCCGTGGAATCCCGGCCGGGGCTCCTCAAACTGCCTCTTCATGACCAGAGTGCCCCACCTGTAGGTCATGCTGGCGCAGCCACGCTTCCACACCTCCAGGATCACCGTGACTTTTATGTCAATAGGTTGCATGCATTTTCCAATTTGTTATTTTAATTTGTTGACTTTTTTTTTACTTACATGCAATTTTAATTGTTATGCTGTCAACAGCTATTGAAATTTCTTTGTCTTTACATTTACAAGGTTTTCTTTTTTCACGTAGATCTCAAAGAAATACTCAGTGTTTTAGTATCACTTTTCCAAGCATTCTTCCTCTTTGAACACTGAAGTCTTTACTTTTACGGAAATTATTTTAGTCTAACGTGCAATAAACACTTTAGTTTTTTAAACAAGTCATGCAATTTTAAAAAGCAAAATTATCTTTTCACACTCATTTGAATTGTTAGCTTTAGTATGCACAAATTCCTATGCAAACAGTTTTCTAACATTCTAATCCGTTCCAATGATCCTTCTACCTATGCTTGAATTAGAAACACAATTTTAATGATGATAGCTTTGCATTTCTCTCTTTATTCAACTAGTGCAGTTTGTGTTTTTATTTCAATGGCAATCTTTAAAAAAAATTAATAAAGAAAGAAAACAGATGGTACTTCTTCTGGCTGATCCCCTAACCACCATGCTCTGCTAGGACATAGCGGTCTCATTTTTGTTTGTGTTTGGTGCCAACTGTCATTACTTTAATTTTGATCACCTATTGAGAAAAGATGTTTGGTCAAAGAGAAAGTGAATTGCATCAAAGCAGACTCTGTGGGTGAAATTTTGGAAGGTAGTTTGATTAGAAATAAGTAATAACAAAATTGAGCTTTCACAAACAGTGTCATTGAAAGTGGCTAGTTCACTAATGTGTAATTTGTTTCATTAAATTCACATTACTGGTTTCTTGGTTTCATAATTTTCCAAGTTTATATGTTATAAAAATTTAAAAATCTTACAGGCCCATTAACTTGATGAGTTTCTATCAAGAATTCTTTTCATACAGGTTTTAGCTAGTTTTGTAATGTTAGTTGGTTATCAAGGACAGTCCATAACTTTTTCCTTTTAAAGGTATCCATAAGTGACTTGTTAAAAATTCAAAAGTTGAAAGATAACATGAGTATCATAGCCTCACCACCTGATCGTATTATAAACTGACCTAACCACATTTTTATAGTCATCGCTTTACTGATAAGATAGAACATTTAAGGAATACGTTATATGTCAGGTCCTCCACTAAGACTCACATCAAAGAGATCCCAGAAAGTCAGCCTCAGGCAACAGCTCCATCCCCAGCCAGTTCCCCAGATTTGCTTCTGGTTATTAGGCTCACCAGTTTCTCTTAGTTCTTGACTCCCAGGCTGTCAGAACTGAACTTCCTTCTACTGCTGATTTGCAGTGATATGCTGGTGATATGCTCAGATTTCTCTCTATGTCTTGGCTCAATTTTGCACATCTCTTGCCTCCAGAGAACCTGCTATTCTCAGTAAGAGATGCTCTGTCCATGTCCCCATGCCATAAATTCATCACTGGCTGGGCTTGAACCTCATCTAATCTCCCTGTCTTTGGATTGAATTCCAGAAAGAAATGTCAAAGAAGTGTGAATCCTCTTTTCACAGGTGGTTCATTCTAACAAGGGAGAAGTGTGGAGAGAGCTGCTGATGGGGATAGGGGCTGTTCGTATTTAAACTCAATATGTATAAAAGATGTAATTAATACATGACTTAAAACCCTTGGCTGCCAAATAACATAACTCAATGCAACTGCATGACAGTGGTGAGTTGACCGTGTCCTTGATTAATGTGTTGCGAAAAGTAGGGCACACAACTCACAGCAAGTACTCAACAAATGCTAGTTGCCATCTACCACCAATCCCACGTTGAATTGTGGCTTTTATTTTTATGTAAAAGAATAAAACAGTTGATATTATTTTTTTATGGATTCAATATTTATGAACTCACCTACTTGCTAAAACTTATTTATAGTCATAAAATCAATACTTGTTGTGCTTTCATGGTCATTTGAGGATGTGTGCATGAGCAGAGTAGCAAAAAATTTGGGTCACTTGACATGCAGGTTTCCAGTTGAGGTAGAACAACCTGACAGACTGCCTCCTTGTTTTAGTCCATGCTGAAAACCAGTGTCTTTTAATGGTCCATCTAGTGCCACACATTTTCACATTTTTGTGCTTTTTATTGGTGATGTCACTGTTTAAAATGACAGTGCTGAAGTATTGTTTATTGTTTGTAAGCACAAGAAGGCTGTGATATGCCTTACGGAGAAAATACATATATTAAATAAGCTTTGTTTGGACATGAGTTATAGTGCTGTTGGCCATGAGTTCAATGTTACTGAACCAAAAAGAAATACTAAATAGGGTGCCTTAAAGCAGAAACACACATAAAACAATATAATGTGCTGATGGGTTGAAAATGATGCAATCAGAGGTTTGCAGAAATCTAACAGCACATTTCCCCAGGATACAATGGCTCAGTGTTCACTAATCAGTGTTTTCCTGACTTGATTGAACATAACTCCTGTGAATAATGAGAACTGACTGTAATTAATGCCCAGTGGCAAACAGTTATATAGTGTGGACTGACAAATAAGAAAAGGAAGTTCTGATAGAAACAGCCAGCTTTCATGGCAGGTGGGAGTTAGGGTGGGGCTCAAGGAGAAACATCATTTAGGTCTATTCCCAATTCACCAACTGTCATAGTTAACAGCTATTCTGCACAAAGACTTGGTACTACATCACTTGTATCTAAATTTTAGTATAATCATTTTTTAAAGACTCATACTCATAAAATGAAATATATTGCATATTCTTTTCAAACAGGCTATTCAGTTTCACCCATGTAAAACTGAACAGTATTCTTGTAGTCTGGATATTCAAGTCAAAACAGCAATTTGTCTATTAATGCTGATTACAGAGCTATTCCCAATAAATTATATATTTAGAGTATTATTCTCTGTATTTCAACTCAAATTTATGAAGAATACTTCCATAAAATTCATAAATGCTAAGGTCTGTGATGAAATATCTACCATCCCCTTCAAGTATACTCAATGTTGACCAAGACAAGAATGATCATATTTAAATTCAACACTTCATAAGCAAAAATCAGCATTTGGAAATGAAACTCAGAGAAGAAAAAGGCAGGTTGGTCCTGAGAGCTGTCTACTAAGATTCCTAACAAATAAAAAAGAAATTGATGGAGAATGAGGAAGGAGAAGTGAGGACATTTAAAATAGGAATCAGAGCACATGGTTAGCACAGTGGGTAAGGTGCCACTTGAGACACCTGCATCTCATATTGGATTTGAGTCCAGGCTCTGCTCCTGGTTCCAGCTTCCTCCTAATGTACACCCTGGGGAGCAGGAGATGATTCCTCAATTAGCTGGGTGCCTGCTACTCTGGGCTCCTGGCTTTTAGTTGGCCCATCCCTGGCTATTGTGGGCATTTGGAGAGTAGAGCAACAGATGGAAGATCGATCTCTGTCTCTGACTCTTTTCCTTTCAAATAAATAAAAACATTTAAAGAATACAATAACATAGGAATCAGAAGAGGTTCTGTTGTTGGAATTTGTTCTTGGCTGGATGACAGCTAGGAATTGAATTATTCAGGTCTAGTGTAATAATATTGCATCACACTTCTACATAGTTAGCTGATCAAATCAAGCAATTAGTTTTTCTATCTCCGTATCATTTTGTCATGTTTGGAACCCACCAGCTCCTCTCTTCAGTTCTTTATACAGAATATAATGCACTGTCGTGGATTCTAGTTCCCCATTGTACTGTGGAACACTAGCACTTGCTGCTTCTGTGTGACTGGGTGTTGGTACTCATTACCCCACCTCCTTCCAGCACATTTTCCGCCACCCATCCCACACTCTAGAAATCACTAGCCTCAGTCCAGATCGACTTTTCTTCTTTAACTTCCACAAGTGAGAGGGAACACGTGGCATTTGTCTCTGACTGGCTTATGGAACTTAACATAACGACCTCCACTTCCATCCATCTTGTTGCAAATGCTGAAATTTACCTAGGATGTACAACATGATGTTTTGACCACTGAAACCACTTCCTAAATTCTTGAGAAATTTGCATTTTCCTTTAATCCCATTTCCCCATAAACCCTTTCAAGCTTCCTAGTACATACACACAGTGGATTTATTACTACAGTGGAGCTAATTAACATAACTATCTCTTCACATAGTTACCTTTTTGTGTGTGTGGTGAGAACATTCTTTTAGCAAATTTCAAGGAGCCAGTACAGTATTGGTAATAGTGTCACCATGCTGTATGTTTCCTCTCAAGAGCTTATACACTCTATTAACTGGGATTTTGTCTTCTCTAACATCTCCCCATTTCTCCTCCCCAGTCCTGCCTCTGTTAACCACAATTTTACTTTCTGTTTCTATGAGTTCAACATTTTAAGATTCCACATGTCAGGGAATTAAGACAAAGAAGAAGCTGCACTCTAAGCGGCCCTGCGAGAGGAAATCACCAAACCTCAAAATCTCATCACCATAGCTCGAGACCCTGGGAGGACGGCGGTTGGGTGGGGCTGACCTTTCAAAACTGTAAGTGGACCCTCTGTAAGCAGAGGTTGCTCAGCTTCTCTCCCCAGTCCATAGCGCCTTGTGCCCACAGGAGTTTGGCTGAGTAGTCTCTCCCTCTAGATGCCCTAATAAAGAGCTTTAAGGTGTGTACCTGAGTCTTCTCATTCTCCTTTGTTGAACCCTTTGTTGGCTTCCTGGCCAGTTGCTAATGATTGGGAAGCCAACACCACATATATGTGAGTTCCTATAGCATTTTGCTTGCTGTGCTTTTTTTGTTGTTGTTGTTTTACTTAGCATGCTATCCTCTGTGTTCATCCATGTTGTTACAAATGACAGGACTACCCTACACAAGAACAGCTGTATTTACCACAATGGCTTCATACACTGATCTGCCAGTGGACACCTAGGTTGATTCCATTTCTTGACTATTGTGAATAATGCAGCAATGAAGAGCAGTGAACATGGGAGTGCAGATAGCTCTTGGTCTTACTGATCTCATTTTCTCTGGCTATGTATCCAGAAGAAGGATGGCTGGATCATCAGGTTCTTT